TATGTGTCACGTGCGCGCTGCTGGCATCCTGTATTTAAGCTCTCGTTCCTCTGGAACTCTCTTCCTTCCTCACTTTGTTGTTCGCTCAATACAGCAGTTTCCGTTTGACTCCGTATTCATCACAGCAAGCAGTGGTTCACTCCACACGGTTACAATAATTTTAGTGTTAAAAAGATTTCGGGACCCGAAAAAACTAAGGATATCCTTATAGAGGGTATATTCTTAAATACACTAAAATCTTACCTATAAAAATTCGGGACCAAAATCCTAAGGATATAAACGAGGATATCCTTATAGCGGGGATCCTTGTAGCGAGTTTTTCCTGTAGTATCTTTTGGAAGCTAGCTAGGCAACAACCAGAGACATTGTGGTAAAAGCAGGTAAATGATATTTCGATAGGAAGCAGGAGTTGCTTACGACATTCTCGCTAGGATATTCTCGTCCCTATCAGATCAAGGGGCCGAACTTCTGGATCGGCCAGAGTCAAGCAACTAAATACGGCCTTCATGAGTACTGACCACAGCCCTGGAAATGACCGTGAGTTCGACAAGCTGCAGTGACGACGATGAAGTAGAATGTGACTCGAGACTTATCTACCGCAGAACTTCGTTGCAAGGAGCCTGAATGCGAACATAACACTACCAACCTCGACATAATGTGAGAGGCCAGACCTTGAACAGCTCAAAGGTGTGGTTTCGAATATTGAATTAAGAAGTGCGTGAAGACTACATACATGCGAGCTCTTCCTCTATATATAGAGAGAGGAAGAGCTTCCTGAATATTCCAAGAAACTTGCAAGAAACTTGAATCACGAATACATGATGTCAGAAGAACAAAACAAGAAAGTGTGGAATGGTGGAAACCTGTTTGGCGGTGGGGTAATGGCCAGTGCTAAGCGGGGACTTTGGTCAGTGCTTAGCGAGGGCATGGCCCGAGCCTCCATCATGGGTTCCAACCCTCACACATAAGACGAGAAGGACAATTTCCAAAATATGCTTAGTTCTTTGGAACCGTCATTATCCCTGTCGCGAGGTCTTTCTGCAACAAAGCTTTGCAGTCTTCAGTGAATGAAGTATATTGGCATATATAGAGAATGCAACTGCGGGTAAGATACCTGATTATTACTCTGTACATGATATAAAGGACTACCGAACTAAACTTCTGGTACCAATTCTCTTAATATACCTAGGCCAGAAAAATTGAGCGTTAACGCCACAATTGCGTACAGAGAAACAACCAAGCCTTTTACAAGTAGGGAAAAGAATCTCAGCACCCGGACGGAAACTTGTTCCCAACTTGAGAGCAGACTCAACTCGCTTAAAAGGAGCCCAATCTCCACCAGACCTCAATGAAGAAAAGAGTACTTGGAATGGTGTGAAATAGTTGCCAACAGTCACGTTTTGAAATACATACCACCAAGATGAGGAGCACTGAAAAAGCAATCACAATCGCGTCGGCACAGCCTCAGAAGCATAACAGCTAGCCGCTAGCGTGACACGGAAGTCACGTGCGAGCACTCTTATCTCTCGTGATCATATACAAGGAGATTGACTCTGTAACTTGAATTATTCCGATATGGGCCCATGGAATGTACCCTTACATGAAGCTGGTCGGATGTGATAGCTTCAAAAGTACCCACCGAGAGCAACTCTGCTTGTCTTCAGCCAGATTCCACGGGGTCGAAACCATCGTCGCATAATATTTGGACAAGAAAAGATAGGTCTTGTGATGGATGTCGACGCAGGAAAAGTTGATGTATCCTCTCACAAGATACGGAGACATGTATAATGTGTTCATCGAGGTCGGAGACTTACACATTTGTTCAGAGTCCTCAGAGGAGAAAACGCCGTCGATTAGCCAATGAAGAGAAGAATTCAGGAAACAAATCACGGTATGTTTTCCTGCCTTTTTAGTGATAATTATTCCTGTGGATGGAATCTGACGTGAATTACTAGCTCGCCAGGGTCTGAACGGACTAGTCTGTCACCCCCATTTCTTTACCGAGAAGACGTTTTACTCTGAATCTTACAGCAATTTACTTCTGATTTGCAGCTAATCGCCCATAGGTATTCATTTGAAACCTCCTATCAACGACTATACGTCGTTACCTGGCCCATCTCTCTTGAAACAAACGCTAGGTCTTGAAAACCGACAGCATGTTCAATATCTAGGGCAGACGACAGAGCATTACACACGCCTCATCAATCTATCCCCCTTTAATGGGATAGGAGAGCATGGCAGCACTCCCGGCACACTTCCACGTGGGAGCCCTCAGACCCATCTTATGATGAACATGGAGAGCCAGGCTATATTCCATGATGAAATCACCGATCTAGACCTGATTCATAGTCTTTTACACCCTCATGGTCAAGTAGGATATACCCTCGGTACACAAGTTGTCCGCTCGCTAAATCTGAAGGCATTGGGCGATTTGTACTCTTGTATTAGAAACTGACTAGCATAAGGCACAAGCGAGTATTTCTAGAAAAATACGCTCGTACTTACAGATTATTGTTGATCTACTGAGATCGCATCCTGGATCTTACACTTACACATTTACGTCTCAGAGCAACGGGTTGATCGCTTTTGCTGTTTCGTGTACCGTGCGGAATGAGAGCACGGCATATCTAGCAGGAGCCAGTCTTTTGAACCTATTTGAGATACACAGTGTGGCAGGAGATGGTGGGGTAGCGTTGGGGGATATTCGTATGCTGCGTTTGTGGTACATCATGTTGTGTTGGCACTTTGATGGCTTTGGAGAACTTGATGGGTGGCTCTGTGATTAAGAGTATTATATGTGGTACTATCAGGGTATTGGGGAGTTTGGGGCTGGCATAGGGACTGGTGAGGATTCCTGGAGTTGACAAAGTTTTGTTGTAGCCCATGTAATGGCTTTAGGGTCTTGCCCGTTGCCCCACAGTGCTAATTATTTGGCAAGAACATACATCAATTCACGCCTGGAAAATGTATCTCAGAAAATGTTCACCATTTCATATTTTCCAAGTGAAGTATCACTGCAAGAAGATGGCAAGAATTATTTGAAAAGACAATTATTTATTTTATTTGCAAAAATGTCTCCCTTTCCTTGACAGTCAGTACCAACATGTGTTCAAGCAAGTATGCCTCTAGTCTATCTAGTCTTGTCTAGAAACAAAGAAAACAATCTACAACAGCAAACGATTGCGTGAAAACACGTCTTGAAAAACCCCTCCGCTGTCACATCTGAAAGCGATTTCTATGTCGGATTTAAGGAACCTAGAAACCACGGACGATGACATTGTAGTTATCAGTGTCAAAGCGCTGGCCGATGATGTGCATACCTCCCCACTAGTTGAAGTCAGTCATAGTTTTAGGATGGAGGAGAAGGAGAAACATACGTGGAGTTGCCAGTTGCAGCGATCGATGATATCAGCGGCGTAGGATGCAAGATATCCGCAGTCTGGTTGGATATAGTATGGGTTCTCGGAAAGATATATGTCAGCTTAGAAGGTGTTGGTAAGGGGGGGTGACATACATCGTTGCAAAGGACCATGCAGTTGTTGTAGTCACATCCAGCGGCAACGCAGGTACGACCATTGACAGGACAGACTCTGTGCTCACTTTGGACTCTTGCGATGACGCGCCAGACGAAGCCTGTAAGAGCCCAAAGCCAGCCATAAGCGCCAATGAGGTCAGCACAGAGGATGTCAGACTGTGAAGAGATCAGTAGATAACCTATGAGAGAGTGGTGGGGGGTGGATGTGAAGGTCAAAGCTTACCTTGTTGCGTTCCATAAGAGTACGAGTCTCATCGCGGGCGGTGATGTTTGACAGGCCAGCGGTCATCTCCTTCAAGCCAGCGACGATAGCTGGGGTGAGGGCGACATCAGGGTGGGTAGCATACATGGCGCAGTCCTCATCAGAGACAAGTGCAGAGTTGGAATTGTCAGCAGCAAAGTCAGATGGGCGTGCAGTGGCCTGGAGATGTGTTAGTGACAGCGAACTTTCAAAGTCTTTGTAACGCGTCCAGAAATGAAGACGCGTTAGGGAAGGATACTTACAAAGCTCACAAGGCCAAGGAGGAAGAAGATAACGTTGGTGAACTGCATTTTGAATGCTGGTTGGAGAAGTGTGAGGCTGGGTTGTTGCTGTCAAGTGGAAGAGCGGCTGCAGAAGAGGCAGAGGTTAAGTGTTGTTGGTGGTTTTGAAGAAAAAAAGATGAGGGTCGTAAAGAGAAAATATTTATAATCTTTGGTGCCCCCTCCCCCTCTGCTAAGCGAGCGGTTTTTGACGAATTTGGAAAAATGGTCAAACTGAAAGGCACGTGAGAGCTTTCTTTATGGATCCACTTTCTTGATAAAGTTAAAATTTCAGGATATGACTACGCTAGCACTGGCATGGAATGCTGTAGAAATAGAGCGACCCAAGTAGCATAGTGGTGAGCCTTTGCCTTAGGACACTTCAGACAAAATGACTTGAGATATTGCTCATAGGCTAAATCATTTGGACAGGCGTTGGGATCTCTATGAACAAACCAGCTCTCAGTACTTTTGTTGCTATCAAACGATTGACAATCGTAGGGAAGGCACCATATATACGCCTGCAAGTTTCAACTGTCAAGTCCATGGACCATGAATTGTAAAACAGTTTATCACCCAAAAGATTCAATATGCTTATTCAATAAAAGAAACGTCAAAGTTTTTTATTGGTTACAACATTGGTTCTAGGCTTCCAAATGCAGTAATGCATACGTAGAGTTGAGCGCCTCAGGCAACCAGCATTCACTAGATCAATCACTGGTAGCAATTGCGCCTTCCTGCAAGTGGATGCCCAACATCTCTGATGACTTTGCAAGAAAAGCTCACTATTCAGGTTCTTCCAGCAGTCATATTGCATTCTTATATCCTCTGCTGGTCAACTTTACGTTTATCATGCTATACTCCAAAAAGACCACCTCATGATGCCAGGACCTCTCAAGTCATCTTCTAATCTGGTCTTACAGAACTTTACTCTATCTGACAAAGCTATTGAATCTATCTCCTCAAATTAAGGTTCTTGATTTTTTCATTCCCAAAACATTGACTAGAAACTACATCTTCTCCTAAAGGAAGCCTTGGCATTCACTTGTTCAAAATTTAAGCGAGTGAAGGACATGTCAACGTCAAAACCCGATCAAGAGATCCGCTAGAGCACAGACCAGCGGCCACGAAGACTTTCTCAAGACCATATCATAAGATTGATTTCAATTGCATGAAAAAAAGAACGGAATGCAGGAGAAAATGCGGCTTGTCTCCCTGATAAATACCAGTACATACCAGAAGCTCAAATCCTTTTCCCAATTCAAAAGGTTCTATATGGAAACAGCGGTGTACTGAAATCTAATGCCATAGCCACTCAAAATCCTCAATTAGGAGAAGCAAGAAATTGTAACTCAAGTCTCACCACTGTAAACTGTAGTAAAAACAGCAGGAAAGGAGTTACAACTGTAAATTATCTATAAGGATAACTATTCAACGCACAATCAATCAAGCCAAAAGACCTTTTGTCTTCTGAGCCTGGGCCTCTGGGCTGTTTCGAAACCTGATTTGGAGTCAGTATATATTTTCTCCCACGTGCCCCAGCTTTGTACCAAGTTTCCTATCGACTACTGTACTGCGTATATAAAGTGGTGGTTTACGATATAGAACAAGATAACCAGTAGTAAAACGTGAAAATCACTAAAATATATCAGTCCACTGTTCGAGGTACAGTACTTGTCTAAATCCCTCCGTAGATCTAGACCGATATTTTCAAATTGGCATATGATATTAGGTTAATAAGGGAGGCTTTGACTGCGATATTCTTTCTTAATGAAGAAGGGCATTCTACTGTAAGCTATTGCACCGTGAGCTTTCAATGTGGCTGAGTTCTTAACAGAACCTTGACATCCAACAGACAACAAAAGCGGCGATGCAGAATTGAGAGCAAAAGTAAGATATTTGGGAATTGGAATCTCTCAAGAAAGACTCAACTTCATTAGCACCATGTTATTTTATCAAGATATCTACTATAATCACTTTATCTGGACTTTCTTGTCTATGTGTCGCTAGGCAGTGGTAGGCAACAGCCCTGCGCTGACATGCATCCATCCCGCTTCACAGCCTGACTCACCGCCACACTTCCACAACTTTATCGTCAGCTTGTACGAAACCACCAATAAATTCCTTTAACCAAGCTTTGCCCGTACTCGATTGCCAATCAGGATCATCGTGATATGTTGTTTCAATGCATGGTTGATGTCTTTGTGGAAACTTCAGGCATAGTTCATTTCAGCTCAATGCACTTCGCCGTGCCACCGAATGACTCCATTCGGAAAGGCAAATTCAAGTATGACTACATAGGTGACAAAGATATAAAACAATGCACTGCGCCCTCACAATTCTAAATCCGAATAAAACTATTCTCCTACATTTTATTCCTCTACTTGTTCTCTATTTGTTATCACGACCCCAATATACTGCAATCCACCCTTGAGGAAATCCTTGAAATTGCAATCATGGCTTCAAAAACTCCTGTTTCTGGCAATCAGGCCGAGGAGGGCAGCAAATATGTCCTGATCGATGGGAAAGAGAGCACTGCCGGCACAGTCCAGACTTCAAATAGCGAGCAGACTGCTTCTAAGGATGCTAAAGACTGTCCAGAAATCGTTTACAAAGTCCAGTACAAGGATTTCTCGGGCGAAATCAAGGGAACCAAGATCCTTGATGCCCCTTATAAGCTCAAAAAAACAGCGTGAGCTCCCTTCTCCTGGTATCAATTCATTCGAGGTACTAATGTTTTGATCTAGTTACGCCGATGGTGGAACTCCAATAATTGAGGTTCTGTACAGTGTGGCGGTATGGTTCCCCAGCATTTACAAGAAAGGAGAAGGAAACAAGACCCTCGAGAAAGCAGAGCAGAAAGACGAGGATGGAAATGACGCTTTCGATGAAAAGTCGATGGAGGAGAAGGAGCTCATCATCCACTCCGAATTAATCATCAAAGCATTACGAGAAATCGTGGATTATTATCCCGGCCAAAGTCTTCTCGGCGACACCATTACCATTAAAGAACCGTTCAGTATTCTGGTTCACCACCGCAAGGAGCTCCAGGAATACAAGGAGAACTGTGATGATGCAGAGACATTCCATCACATTTCTGTGCTGCAGAAATATCTCGAAGATAATCTGGGCGATAAGATTCTTGCGGAAGATCAACGATATATGAAGTCCACGCCAGTCGCAACATTTGAGATGTTGTGGATGTTGTTTAAACCTGGCATGGATGTTTATGCAACCATTGATGACCAAAAAGGAGGTTTTGTGGTTCAATCCTGCGCACCAACAAGTGATACTGTCAAGTACGGTCAAGTCGCTTCTCTGAAAGTTACGATGTGGTATCTTGACTTCGATGGACGAGTGGTAGGACGCCGACGTCATGAAGTGACAATCGCTCCTTACGACGGTGAGCGCGAAATAACCTCATTAAAGGTATTCCCATCGATATTTTTGGACAGCAACCCTGAGCTTTCTCCACGCAAGAAACTTGAAGAGCGAGGTGAGAAGTTCTACGAGCTTTTGAAAGGAAAACAAATGGATTACAAGGGTTACAGTATGGTAGCCGACAAGAAGCCAAAGCGATTCCACGAAGGACGAGTTGTCGTAGATCAGGGGAGTTTCTACACCTATGCCGAATGGGCTGAAACCAGTGTTCACCCTGCACCAAACTTTGATGTTGATGACGACAATTCCGGTATTCTTGCAGACTTGCACTACGACTGTAGCTGTGATGAATGCATGGACAAGCGACAAGCAGCATCCGTCAACACAAAGTGGGGCACATATGAGAATGTTGATCCTCGCGAAACCCCAGACCTCAGGAAGAGAGAAGATGGAACCGAAGATCGCCACAGATATTTCCTCTTCCCAAGAAGAATTATGGGATTTGATTTGAAGTCCAAGAAGTGGCAAGCCCTTGATGTCGATTGTTGTCGCGAACCAAAGATCAAGACCGAGGCCATCACCAACCTTGTACTTCCATCCGACAAGCAAGAACTTATCAAAGCATTGGTTCATAAATACAGCTCATCCAGAAACAAGAAAAACAACAAGCCTGAAGCAACTTGGAGTGCAGATCCGATTCCAAACAAGGGTGAAGGTCAAATCTTCCTCCTTCATGGGCCTCCAGGTGCCGGGAAGACATTCACTGCAGAATGTGTCGCAGAATTTACCTCGCGGCCTCTTTTGAGTTTGACTTGTGGGGACATTGGCACAGATGAGGTTACTGTCGAGGATAGTCTCTCCAAGTGGTTCAAGCTTGCCGAGATCTGGGGAGCTGTCATACTGATCGACGAGGCTGATGTATACCTCGAGCGTCGTGAAGTCAACGAGCTGACCCGTAACGGCTTGGTGTCTGTGTTCCTCAGAGCTATGGAGTACTACAGAGGAATTTTGTTTTTGACGACCAACCGAGTTGGCCACTTCGACCCCGCCTTCTTCAGCAGAATTCATGTCTACATTGGTTACAAACCACTCGATGCTGAAGGACGAAAGAGAATCTGGCTTCAATTGTTCCAAAAGCTTGAGACAGAACGTGGCGATGAGGTGAATGTTAAAGCCGGTGCAAAGCGATATATCCTTTCCGATGATGTCTTGAAAGATATCGATTGGAATGGTCGTGAAATCAGAAATGCTTTCCAGACTGCCGTTGCGCTTGCAGAGTATGAGGCTATGCAGAAGGTTTCAAGCCGGGAGAGGGTGGAAAAGGATGGACTGGGTGAGGATAAGAAATCTTTAGAGATTGAGTTGAGACAGGATCATTTTGAGAAGGTCGTTGAAATGAGTGATAACTTCAAGAAGTATTTAGCGACTGTTAGTGAGGAGAACAGGGGCGATAGAGGAGATGACTCTTTGCTCTGAGGAGACAAAATCGACTTCGTGCTTCTCTAGCGGAAGAATACATAGAGGTTTAGTTCTTTTAGGCTGTCGTGTAATAATAAGAGAAACTACATTCCGACCCCCTCCAGACAAGAAGAATGTTTGCGTTACTGTAGTCAGTCCTTATCTCCCTTCCAATATGCGGTCCAAACCCTCTGTTCCACCATCAGCTTAGAAACACTTTACAAATTTGTGGGACCATATTGAGAATGATATCCACCAGGCAGTTCAGGAAGCCCTGCAAGATCGATTAGTATTAGTCCGCAGCCCTTGCCCCCAAAAAATGAGACACAGAGGACTTACATCCATCAATATCCTCATCAACAACAACCTTCTGCGTACAAGCATTCATCTTCTCAATCGATTGCAACTGTGCCTTCGCCGGCGCCTCCTGGCTACAATTCGTATAGAAGTTACACGGGGTATCCAAAACCCTCTGCAACGCATCGCCCTTCCACCCAAAAACATAATCCGCATGATTCGCATACCCCGTCGCATCACCAAAAGACCAAACAAAGGGATTACGTCCATCCGCAGGCCAGTCCAGATCATTGAAAGGTTTAGTATCCCAGACTACCTCATACATGACTTGGGCTGTACGGACGGGGTGAGAAGCTGGGCAAGGACCTGCACTTTCGAAAGTTCCGGTCTCGGGATAGGACATGTGTGCCATGTGGTCTGGACTATCGAGATTTTTACCGTCCCAGCAGGTTGGGAAGCGGAGGGAAGTCATGATTCCTTCGGCGCATCTTCGTGTAGGGAATTTGATCCATTCTGGTTGGCGGGTGTTGAAGGTGTCGAGGCAGGTGTAGGTCAGTTGGCGGAAGCGGGCTGCTTCTGGTAAGGTTCTTGCCATGATGTCTCCGATGAACATACGGAACCCCTGAATGGGGATTAGTTCTGAGTTGTGGAGATTTGGGAGACTGAACACGTACCGGTTGGAAAGCAGTTACATGCGACTTCTGAGCATTATCGTAAATCTTATATTATTAGTAAAAGTAACAGACTATTATTCCTTTCTTACCGCGTCTTGCATATAATAAATGGTAAGCCCACCATTTGCAGTTCTGAATTGATTATTTCCTAGCTGAGGCACACGTTTATAGCTTCCGTTTTGGGCTCTGAAATACAATATTGCGGTCCAATAGTTGGAAAAGTCTTCGCTAAACTGGCAACTTGTACAAGTCGATTCGCCTGGCATATCTTTTTTGGGATCCATGGTGGCATTAAATGAATTCTGTTGAAATTAGAATTGTATGTGGATGTGCAGGAACATCTACGAACCCCGCCCACAATCTGATGGACATGGCTAGAAGGTGATAGACCTGGACTGATCAATGGGTCGAGTCTTTCGGTCACAAGTTGGGAGCAGTGGAATCGAACAATTGCACTGCTGGTAGCGACGAACGCAAGACAATTCAAGGCAGAGAGTCTCATTGTTTGAAGTCTTATTGGAAGTTGTGGGTATTTTTGAAGAGCCAATCTTTAGGATCGACGGCAGCGTTCGTGGCTCCCAGGCGAGAAATGCTCTGTATAAATCTGGCAATAAAAGTTCGTCAGATCAGTTCAGAATCCAAAAGATATTGAATAATACCTTTCAGTATGAAGCGCTAGAGGAATAGGGACCGAAGCCTCTAAGACCTTCCAAAGAAAGCATTTTTCCATGGCAGGGCAATACTGACTAACAGCCGAGTCCTATGCGATAGCATAAGGTATATCTCACATCAGTAAATTTTAGCCATATATAGTGAAGAAAGTACTGATTACTATTCTTGTGCATACATCAACCGATAAGTTTTGTTCAAGGTTGGTAAGCCATCAATTTCTCGCTAAAGATTGGCCGGCTCGCAATTAAGGGGATTTAGGCGAGAAACACCCATACAGGCTGTCATCCCCACCAATCTCCGCCACCTTGATTCTATACTCGAATCAATCAAACGCAATAAGCTTATAGCAGTAAAGTATACACCCGAAGTGGGGTACATGGAGCAAGTGCCGAAATGGCGCGGACCGCAAAATTCGGATCACCGGAACAATTCAAAGGGATATGGCAAACACAATCCGACAAACCCTCCATCACAATCCTCAGAACCCGATTCAAACCCCCAAAATGCGTCCCAGAAAGCTCTTCTCCCTCATTTGCCACTTCGTACCTATCCTCGCTCTCTCAGACGGGTGTCCCAAAAACGAAGTAGCCTGTCTAGACGTCATGAACTCAAGCCAATGCATCGAGCAATTGATCCTCGAAGGCTCTGCACCAGTGACCAAAGAAGCGTTGGTGAAATGCGTCGTGAACGAGGGTAGTGCCTCAGACTTACCTGGGGAGACGAAGGTAAGTTTAGATGAAGAATGAAAGGATCACAGACGGGGGGTTAAGCTGATGGGCTTATGATAGTATTGCCGATGTCCGGGATGTCATTCAGCGCCGATTAATACAAAGATTTTGGAACTTTTTCCTGCGCACTGTGGGTGAAGATTGTTGGTGTAATAAAATTGGGAGGAGAGAGGTGGGCTGATGGCAGGTGTCAAGTTGGTGGTGGATCAGAGGGTTTGTATGAAATGAGTAGGGGAAGTGGTCATTACTCTGCACATGCCTCTCTTCCAAAAATATTATTTTCAACAGCCTAGTACAACTAAAATAATATTTAAAAGGTCCAAAATGACCTTCAAAGCTCAACTTTTGTCAGTCTAGACATGTTAAGACATCTGTTTTATTGATTAGTACTGGTGGATATGGGCTTGAGTGTAAGGCATATGATGTTTGCAAGAAGTTTATTGTGCCCAGAGCAACAAGTATGATTCGTTGAATGCTTATAAGTATATCTACAAACAGCTTGATAAAATCCAGTACTCCCAGGGAATTATAGAAAGCTTCCCATCCTGTGTGAGACAAATAAAAACATATCGGTTGGAAATCATTCCTCTTCTCATTTACCTTCACCTTTCCATGGTAACAAGGCGTAAATAACCCAAATACCTTAGAGAAACTACCAAACGCCTTCGCCAGTGTTCAACGAATTCTTTGGATCACCAAAAAGCCTTTTGCAACAATTGAATCCAGAGGCTAGCTAACATAAACAAAGCTTTATTCACCGCCCTTCTGTCGTCAACTACAAGACAATACGACTCTATGTACCAACAGTTCCACCACATGCGCGATGAGTGAATATGCAGTTACAATCTTGACGCCAAGACATATCTGGCTTTCCAGCTCTTTAAAGCTCTGCCCACAGTTCCTGAAACATAACCCACAACACACATTTCAAAACTGGTGTCAAACAACCAGCAACCAGCAACCAGCAACCATGCCTTCCAAGCGGGATATCGTCAAGAACAACCCTATGACAGGCCTCCGAGATTTCCTCCCTCGTCTCAAAAGCTTCGAACCATCCATCCTTACAACGTATCAGGTGATACGGAATTTCTATTCCAATCCGTGATACGGAATTTCTATTCCAATCCCACAGACGTGAAGGTGAGTTCCCAATCCTTCGCAAATCCTAGTTACAGTCCTCAAAACTGACTCCTATAGTTCGCCCACTCATCTGCGGTCTTCTTATAGTCCTGCAGAAAGAGGCAGTTGCAGGACTGCTTAGACCGTTCTCCAATAACGGCACACTAGCCGCTGGACTTCGTCTATCAAATGACCATTTGCAAGCCAGAACGGTCAATTTGGAACACGCACGTCCTCTTCTGGAGCGGGTCCTGACTTACAAGGCGACTACCAAAGGATACAGCCTGGAGTTGAAGATCTGGAACGATGCTATTGGTTTAGTGAATAAGGTGAGTTTGGCATTCCGCGACCTGATATTAGATGAATCCTTTTGTTGATTGAGAACCACAGATAAACCAGGAGTACGACGAAAACCACCCAAATGAAAATCAAGAACCGCTGTTTCCGCGCTTCGGATCCCTCCCACTTGAACCCAGGATGATGGTTTGGAGATACGCTGCGCTTGATTCCTGTTTGATCGCGACAACGAAAATATACGTTCATCAACCGTTTCCTATGTTTCCTCCTCGATCTACTTATCGGTTATTTGCCTGCAACATCCCGGCATTATTTCTTGTCAACCGAGAGTCGCGTGCCGAGGCTGTAAAAGCCAACCCAGGATTTGTTTTGAACGGCAGTTTTGGCATTGACGGAATGTTGCGCGTGGCTCCAACTCAAGCAATTATACATCTGAAGCCGTCTGTCATACGCCGGTACACCGACGATGATGGAATGGTAAAGGATTTCGCAGATTCATTGACTGGGAGTGAAAAAGCTAAGATTGAGAATATTGCAATTGACCTTGACGCCGACCACCAAGGGACGGTAGTAGGTGAACTCATGGGTTTTCCAATGTTGGAGAATGTAGTCGTGGTGTTGATGCACAAAGGTCTTCGCCCCCGAGGCTTTCGCTCCAAGGACGAACTTGTCAGAGACATGGAGCATAAAGTGACACAAACTTTCGGACTCATCAAGGCTTGGGACACTACTTGGAATGTACCGAGTTTTCAGGTTTTGTACCTAGGGAATGAACATCTCGACGGGAGCTATGATCCGGACGAGTCTTCCAAATTTCTATCGAATTATTGGTCTACCAGAAAGGGATAGGAGAAGGAATGAGATAACGAGAGGATCCTGAGCATTAGTTGGTGGCTTGACTTTTGAGCGGTTTTTGAGACGAGATGCATCAAAACAAATCTTCAGAAGATGCCTATGTTATTCATAGAAGTGTAGGCAGATCATTACCATAGTGAATCACAGCTTTTGTGTTGTAGGACCAATCATAGCTCAGACGATGTAGCGCAAAAGATCAAACATGCTACTGTGTAGTGAATAATTCATAAATTGGCGTAGCCTTTTCTCTTCATATATAAGTTGCAAGCCTGATGTAGGTCTGAAAGGAACGAGAACACATTTATCGCGATACTCAACAACGATAAACGACAGCCAAGAACAATAGACGACCGTCAAACAACAATGTGCAGAACCTAGGGAATCATTTATCATGATTGTAGGCATGTTGATATCAGGGTGGGCTGGCACTGCATGGCCGAGAAAGACTGCACTAAAGAGCTCGTAGCTGGGACCCAACGATTTGGAAAGTGTCTGGATTGTATCCAAGATGAGTTTCTCATCCTTCGTGATGGACACGGACGGATGGAAGGCATGATCAAGGACCAAGATCGCGCTAACCTTTTCTTCAAAAGCGTCACAGAATATTTATTCGACCCTATCTTGACATTGAGACGAAGTGGAATAGACGCCTTTGAAGATAGCATCAGCGGACGCCGACCTGAACAAGCGCTACTCCTTATTTACTACTTACTTGAGAGCGAATAACAAATGCGATGCCATAACCGTCAGGAATTCGATCGTGCTAAGATGCGCCATTTCCTCGCCCAGCTCATGTGGGTTGCTAACCAGACCTTCGTGAATCTCAACGAAAATAAGAGACAGGATAGGGATGAATGTCTTGAGAAAGTAACGTACCTAGATCTGGAAACTCTCCGACTTCCAGAGGGCCACAAGGACAGAAGATGCCTGATCTGCCAGGAAAACTTCATACCTTATCTGCTCGGCTTAGTAACAAACGAAGGTCATGAGAATGGACAAGGAATCAGCAATCAGGAACGACCTCTCAAAGTTACTTGCGGACATGTTTTTGGTGAGAGATGCCTCAAAAGATGGATCAACGAACGCGAGGACTGGACAACGGCGACGTGTCCTGTGTGTCGAAGAAAATTCCCGACATACATGGAAATAAAGTATTGGCGCAGATATCCAAATGAGAAGCCTCTTTGGCTCCAGGCATTGTTCCGTGAGGGTGAGCAGGTCGAATATCTGGAGAACCGACGAAAATACCACATATTCATACAAGACGCCACCCTTACCCTTCCCCTTTCGAAGGGATGGAATAGAAACGCAACCGAATTTGGGAGACTTCTCATTCGGGATTCAAAGGAGTAAGAAACAGCGTAGGGAGGACTGTACTAAACAAGGGATTCGTATGATATTCTTGGGGAGCTCTGTAGCATATATAGGATGATAGGAGAGTCTGAATATAAAGATATCATGGCATTGCAATGAACAAAAGTTGATGAACTAAGTGATATGGATCATCTCACATAAACAAGAGCTCAATCAGAAGAGTTGATTCATAACTGCGGATGTTGGTGGTCATATTTGAGTTGATACTTGTATCGAGAGGTTGATGATGGGACCCTTACTCCATACTGCATTGCTGACTAATCCCACGCTAACGTACACTCTACCTTGAACCTCAACTTCACAACCCGCCATTGAACCCCCCCGCAACCCCCCAATCGCCCATCATGACCGTCACCGAAACAATCAAAGCTGCCGTCGGCCTAGGTGATGGCCTCTCCAAAAGTACGCCATCCAATTACCCTCTCCGGCTTCTCCACTAACCAATTGCATAGCCGCAACACGAGAAGCCATGAGCGAAGCCAAACTCCCTCTCGCATACCGTGACAGCTGCGCCGGTCTCCTGATCCCACTCAATCGATGTCGATACGAAGAGTACTATCTGCCATGGAAGTGCGAGGTGCGTATGGAGCAGCATACTCCCGGGGAAAGCGGATGTGGAAATCTACGAATTGGCTAACGTTTGGGGTATAGAATGAGAGACACAGCTATGAGAAGTGCCAGTACGAAGAGTTCAAGAAGCGCGTTAAGAAGATGGATGAGTTGAGAGCGGCGAAGGGTGGGGAGAGAAGCAATTGAGATGGGATTGTATTTGTACATATGGATGGAATGCGACTGTTTACAACTGGTGGAAGGGCCGACGAACTCTCAATACAGCATGTTTTTTGGAGGTACCATTGCGATTGGACGATGTGACGAATCAAAATCGTGCTGGATTACAAGGAATCGATGTTGTCTGGAATTTCCCTCTCTCACGTGTCAATTGTTCCCGAATAACGACGAACATTGCTTGAATGGGCTAGAATAATTCAGTGTCTGATTATTATAACCTTTGGAAGTCAAAACATCCGATTATGTTGGACAAACTAACATAGTCTTGATGGAATATGCGTCCGAGGCTAATAAGAAGGTCTTGCTCTTACAAAGAGAAAGCCTCCAACGTGCAGCGCAAGAACCCCCAGGGGAACTAGCAATGGGCACATTAGGACCAGTAACGGCAAAGATAACAACAGCAGAGCCAAGTTTCTAGGACTAAGGAAAATACATACTCGATATGAAGACGTAAACTCGACCAGATAGTCGATGAAAAACTGCCATAATCCACTTCCTTCTTAAATCTACGAACTTCACTTCCCTGGACTTTACCACACGACCAATAACCTATTAAACAACAGACTAGCGCACAGGCCCCCACGTCATTATATCATTAAATAACCATTCTGGCTCCCATGAAAAGTCAAGACTATGTAGTTAAGCGGTACCATCGACAATCGCAAAACAATCGCTAACTCAAAAAAAGGTTTTCAGCTCATACAGCTGGCTCTACGGACTCGCTGATCGTTCTACCAAAACAAAAAAATTCCAAACAAGCATGTATTCAGAGACATGCGTACTACCCCCCACTGGGATGGTAACCATTCAAAAAAAAACACACGACTCAATAGTTCCAGGCTACCGCTACAAATCTTAGCACGCCCCCATCGGGGCTGCTCTAATTCCAACCAAACAAAACAAACCCGCTACGAAAGATTCACCTGAGGCGCCGCAAGATGCGATGAAATTCTAATGAGTGAGTTCTCGCCGCTACTATCTCCCTTCGACCGGGCCGCTTGACTTGACTTGACTACTTTTTTTTTGTTTAGATTATTGCGGCTTTTGTAACTTTTGATGACTGGATTAGGCCAAGAGATGCGTATACCGGCTGCATATCTTCATGGGAGGCCTTTCACTCGGCAGCAATGCTTGCCCCTGCGTAGCACGATCGAAGAACCCGTCCACCAGAACTGGAGGGATGTGGATCCGGTGAGGGACACCGTTCGACGTCGCCATTCTATGGTTCGGCCGAAGCAATGACTGCAGGTGGTCCTTGTTGAGATGCATTCAAGAAAAGATCAGATTGAACGGGAGGAGACCTAAAAAGCCGTATGGCAGGTGCATCATGGCTGTCATTCACAAGTGGATTTGCTGGAACAGGATCATCACCCATTTCCTCCCCAAGCATCTCCTCGAAAGGCTGTTCATGCTTCCACGACATCCCCGGGAGTACACCCCATTTTTTGTTCCACAATCCTCGCTTAGTCCACGTGTTCAAGAGATTCTCGTATGCTCTCGTGTTGATGTCAGTAGTATGTGCGCCTTCATCATTCGCGGATTCTGCCTGGATTCGTTCACGCTCTTGGGATATCTGGTAGACGAACTGATGGTATGGACGTGAAGCCTCGCGTTCACGCTCCCGTACGGCTCGCCGCTCGACAGTCTGTCGTTTCTCTTCATCGCTCTTCGGCTGCCGTGGTTCAGACTTTGGCTTTGGGACTGAAGAAAATAAAAGAGGCGAGGATTCTGTTTCCAGATCTTTCTCCAGTTCCGCCTCCGACTCCATCTCGAGCGGCTTTTCGTGCTTCCACCGCCCAAACGCGAATGTGTTCCAGTTATCCTTCCAAATCCCCTGCTCAATCCAGCGCTTCTTAATCATCTCGGTAGCAATCATGTAAGGGTCAGACCCAGCCGGTATACGGTGTGATCCATTCAGATCCGCATCCCAGATCCGCTTCCTCTCTACTTCTACCTGTTGCTCGAATTGGTTGTATGGTATTGAGGCCTCGCGCTCTCCTGCCAGCTGCATTCGTCGCTGCTTGCGGCTCTCCTCGCTTGGAGAGATTGGACTTGCAGATCGAGTGGTCCCGCCAGATAGATTTGATGTATATGCTGGTGGAGAATGGCTGAACCGCTGCCTTTCCCGATTCAGTTGATGTGGATCTGCCTCTAATTCTGCCAGAGCTCTGTGAGCCCTAGCTAGGCCGTTGCCTCGAAGAGTATCAGCAAAGCCGGCCATGGATGGTTGTTATTAGTGAGCAGTCGATCATGGATCGTGGTGTATGGGGAAGGTTGAGTGGAAAGATTTGTTATCGGAGACGAAGGCGAGTTTCAATAGAATGTGTTTTTAAGCTGGTGGTCGATGGTGACGTGGCTGTAGCCATATTTCTTACAATAACGCAATAACACAACACAATAACATAGGTAGTAACGCAGGAACACAGCAACACAGTAACAGACTCACACAGTCAATCCCATACTTGGTTGTTGGCTGTACTCCACTTTATGACTCCGTCAAGATACTAGAGCGACCTATGAGAGCACTAAAACAAGAATAATATAAACAAACAGTATATTATACCTCAAACCTTAAAGTTGAAACTCTTTTCAAGGCAAGTTACGTAAGCAAGCCCTCTTTATTCTCTTATACACATGTAACCGATCCTATATAGGCTATATATCGTCGAGTGTATCGCGTTATCAGACTAGGACGAACCGAAGGAAGAGCTTATATTAGTTTTACACTCTGGCACAAGTCATTGTAGACGACTAGTTTGGCTCTAGACTCTATCAGCATATCAGTAAAGAAATTGATATTTTGTAAGTTTCAGGCAGACTAAAACCCCGAAGCTCACTCGGCAATTTATTCATCTATTTAATATCTAACTTGCTCGTATCTAGGAGATTCTACAAACAATCGGTGGCTTTTCCAGAAAGGTATGGAAATCTCAGCAACCTACTATCAACCACATCAAAAATATTTAAAAGAACCAGCAACAGCAACACAACAGGAAGAACCTGTCCAAACCCCCAAGTTGATTCATCCTCCACCAAGTGAGCGTTGGAAATCTTCGCGTCGAGAATATCATATGTATCCCAGGCTGCAAACCCCACATACGCCGCAACTAGAATCGTGGATTCTGAGTCGCCCCATGCCCAAAGAGCTAGGAATTGATGGATGGCCCACCAAATCCAAAGGGGTAGATAGAATATTGCTTGCAAAAGGTAGTCGATGGCCGTAGGAAAGCGGCGTATAATCACTTGTTGACTTGGTCCTTGGTGGTGGGCGTCCAAACAAACTTTTGGGGTATCGATTTGGTTCAATAACCAGAACCTCCAGGTCCTGTATCGTTCTTGAAATCTCTCATCTCTTCCCTTGATGGTCGTTGAAATGGTCTCCAGCCAAGTTTGACCCCCTGGCTTGCCGCCAATAACATGGGTTAAGCCAGAGAGTATCTCAAGCAACAAGTATCCAGCGTAGAAGAAGGAGCCTATCATCCACATGTACTGCTGGTTGTAAGCCGATTCATCATTCGAAATATAACACGACCCGCTCTCGACCGGATTCCAACCACTAGTTTCCGCTTGCCGTGGAATCACAATCACTTGGAAAATGGCAAACAAGGACACAGCGATGAATTGTGCGACCATCCTCGTCCAGTAGTACCAACTGTTACTACCATCGCCTTCAACATGACCAGTTCTGCCAGCGAAGAACGAAGTCAGAGTCAAGAAGCAGTACGATAGAACGAATTGTTGATGGTAGAAAGTCATGGTTTCGATCTGTACGAATGCTGAGAGAGATATTGCTATCGAAGTGACGATTTGTATATCGCAGAGGATATCCAGAGAAGCCTTTGCCATGTAGATCAATCGTGAATTTCTCCGTCGGAAGAAACCAAGGATGAAAGAGGCCAATCGAGGGTTGAAGTATTTGAACCTTTCGACTTGCTTTTGAAACAATTCCTCTGAACCCTCCACTCCATCTTTAGAGATACGTTCCATAAATGACTTTGAGAGTCTGCAGTACACATCAATTGTTGCGACCAGACACGTGATCCATGCCGTTGCAACGAATCCTATGATGATCTGGGACTGGTTAGCACATCGCTTCAAATTCATACGACGATTGAATCTTGCTTACTCCAGGTCCAGCAATATCTGAATCGCCCTCAAAAGGGCATACGCAATCACAATTCTGCTGGCTTGGGTTCGTGAAGTTGTAGTAGATCACTGTGTTATTCGGCAATTCCCAGGCGCAGTCGTTGAAGCGCCAATCTCTTCTGCGCGTGCTGAACGCGCAGACGGTCATCCTTTTCAATAAAGAGCTTGGAGTATATAGATTTAAATCTTGGGGGTTTTATGATTAGCCATGACGCCTTTCGTGTCATTTGCAGAGCAAGTGTTCAGCTGGTATTGTTGCAGGGATTATTACGGCTAACCACATCGAGACACTTTTGTGTTACCCAATCGAACAGCAACTGACTTCAATCATTGCAATTTTAACGCAATACCAATACTTGCCCTAGACTTTGGCGAGCGTTTGGACTATTAAAACACATTCTTTTAAGCAGCCACGTCAGAGGAAAGATGAGTGATATTTGTTGATTTATCCGTCAACCATATGTGGCCATCAATAATTTCTTTTTTCGGTCCTCAGACTGATGCTTCTCGCACTGGCGAGCCACCTCCGCTTGAAGTGTCGCGTCTCTTACTATGTTGAAATCTCATGATAATGCTCATACGCTGTACGGTACGTTTGCGTGTGCAGTATCCAGGTCTTTGAAGCTGCGGGGAGACGATTCTGGAGAACTCCTCCAATTATCTCTGGCCTCCAGCGTTGAAATCCTGATGTGCCGAACCGCAATTCTATAGCTTATTCATCCCCAACACTTCAACGGCGTTTGGGCAGCCATGGTAACGAGAAACTGATGGGATATTTGGTGCTTGGATGGCGAAGCAAAAAACTGAGCAGATACCAGAAATCCGCTTCAAGAAAGAACTTCGTTCTAGAAGATTATTTTTTCTAAGTTCAAACAAAACCGTCATCAAAACATCACTTTTCAAATCTCATAAATGAAATCAGCGCTTCTTTTTTGGTGTTTTCTAATTTACAAATACGCAGTAAAGCAACGCAAGTCCTTTGTTTTTTTTTGTTTTTGAGTATGGTTGTTCAAAATCAACGCAATCTATAACTCTGCGCATATCCATCATGCCCCACAAAAGCTTTGTGAACTAGCACCATCCAAAACCCAGTGAAAAACAGTAACCTCCACCAAAACGAGAACTTCCAATATATCCTTTCGAGTGCGTTTCTGGAAGTATAGTGGCGGGAGAATTTCGGAATTTGCTGAGCCTTGGGAGAGGTCGTGAGGAGGTGCTACCACATCGAGCTTTTTAGTTTCTCCGATAACGGGGCATTTTCCAACCGGGCTGCACATACGGAAGGTTGCCAAGGTGAGATGAAGAGAGGGAGGGATGAGTTCGAACATGTGTTTAAGAGATTGTGGTTTGTCTGGTATATCCCAGGGTTTATAGTTTTGGTGTGACTGGAGGAATCTCACACTCGCTTGGTCGCGGGAGTCGACGAAGCCAAGTTCGAGAAGAGTATCCATGGGATGCATTTGGAGGCAAGCGTCTTCGCGAATACTCGTCTCGGCTTTGTAGACCCGGTCCTTAATTTTCTCAATCGTTAATTGAGGTTTCCCCTGAAGATACTTTTCATTCAGTAACTCCAAAAAATGGCCATGTCTCCCATACCACCCTAATATTACCCACGTCTGTTCGAAATCATGTGTGCGAAGACGCTCATGACAGTCCATTGAGTCTTCTACCAATTTCTTTACTGTTTTGGGTTCCACCTTCCATTCTGTCTCTAAGAACGTTGGATATAGGGTGGCGAGCATCTCATGTGATATCGCAGCAATGATCTCTCGGCCCTTGTCTTGGACATCCTCGAATCTAGGTTCTTTGTCGAATACTAGTGCGACATAAGCTGCATTTACAAGGAGGATTATCGCCGCCATTCCCCAGGCGGATTTTGGAGGAATAGATTCTGGAACTTTAGGCCATAATTCGGGGTCGGGGAATGGGTAGGGGTAGCCGGTCAGGTCCTTCTCTAGTCCGGGGAATCGGTCTGGGCCCTGGTAGTTGCTGCCGCTTTCCTCGTCGCTCATAGTTTCCAAACGTCAGGAGGGTTTGTGGGCTATTGGTATTGAAAGTGAGAGTTGGATTTTGAGAAGGAGTTGGTTGAGTTGTTTGTTAAAAAGAAAAGAAGGAAGGGTGCAAGATCGAGGTATTTATCCTTGATTCTAACGCATATTACTCAGAGCCAGGCGAAGAGAAGCCATTCATGAAGCAATGATTAGAGTCAGAGAACGCTATCTGAGTAACACTTTTGGGAATTGGGACGACCATTCATAGACACGAGCAACGGATTTGAGTAATAGAGGTTAGTTTGGTATCGCAATTCACTGTCATCTAAAGTCTTTCGACTCCTGATGACAGTATTAGGTATTTACTTCCAAGTTGTCTAGATCTATGCTGATACACATTCTGAATGGTGGTCTTTGAATTTTAATTTCTTTTCCATATGATAAAGGGCTTATACAGCTACACTTATATAGAAGTGAGCTGTGATTCTAATTATCTTCTTCTGGTTAGCGAATTTATGAATCACATCATAAGAATAGTTTATATATGCGATGAAGGAGTCTTCCGCTCTGATCTTTGATAAAGGTCTTTGAATCAAGTAGGCAGCCCAGTTCTGAATAAATCCAAAAAGCGGTGTACGAGCTCAAATCATAGAGCGAATCATACAGTGACTATCGTTACCACGGCCACTTTGCAAATGTCCAAAGGCCACGGATACATAGTTCGCCTCTCACTTTTATGAAATCTACAGTGTTCTGGAGCGTAATGTAAAACGGTAAGATTCCTATAACAAAGTATCCCTAGAAACTCAAACAGCCCACTTAAACCTACTTTATTACTTAAACGCTTAGCTGCTAGTACCGTATACAATTCATCCGGAGAAGAAACTATACACAAAAACCGCACATCAGATCAAATTATTCAACTCTCAACATCCTGCAGCGCCCGCGTGTAAGTTCGCTCAAAGAGTCTAATTACCTAAGTACCCCTTAATCACGAAACTCCAATTAAGCGAGCCCCTGAATGATTCCCCCACCCACTCTTATCTTCAACGCCTTAGACACGCAACCAATGAAAAGCCATCAAACCCAAGTTATTGGTTTTCATATTTGCATATCGCAGTTAGTGGACGACATCCTAGAGTTTCCGGGGGTTCAGAGCCTGAAGATAATAGAGGCAGTCGGAGGAGGGAGGGAGTCAAGTGCGAGGAATTGGGAATGGTAGGGGAGTACGGAGGTTTCTGGTGATTAAGAATAGTGAAGTTACAATAAGCTTGGCTCGAATTATGCTATTGTTGTTGTGTTTTTAGAGGAGTTCGGAGAATTAGTGGTTTGAATTGGGTAGTTAGTGCTGGGACTATCTACTAGAACCGCCCTCTGTATTTGATTTGGTGCTATGAAAGCACTTGATGGTTTTAGGTAACAGAGGGGTATCACGTGGATTTTTGGCTATTATACTGAACATCACGATATGGGAAAAAGAAGGATTTATTTATCAATGGTGTGAGATTATTTAGAGAAAATAGTGAAAAGGGAGTCGGGATTTCAGGGATTTGGAAAGATGTGAATGAAGTCAAAAATCGGATATTGACGTGACCTGAAAAGATAGAAAAGAACAAACTTACTTGTCAGTTTATCTACTTACCTTTACTTCCTCTCAAACGCGTCAGACTAACGTCCACCACCTACCGTTTCTTTGCGCCACTCACAAGCTTCTCCATCCAATCACCCTACAACATCCCCAACCTCACACCCTCCCTCTCAACCCTCTCATTCTCCACCTCCACCCCCCTATCCCACAACCCCCTAGTACAACCCCAAAACGCCTCCCTCCTCTCCTCAACCCACTCCTCCACCTCGACCCTCTCCGTCCCCCCCGGTATAGTCTCATGTTGCAGCACAAACTCCGCCTCAGACAACCTCTCCCTCGCCTCCAGAATCCCCGCCAATTCCTCCATCGAAAGCGGGTCCGTGACAGCGGCCGGCCAGGGAACCACCCCATTCGGCGAGAGGAAAGCGATGTTCTCGAGGAGGGCGTCGCGGTAGGCTGGTTCTGCGGCTTTTTCTTGCTCCGCGGCGTGGGAGCGGAGGGTGAGGAGTTGGCGCACGAGGTGGAAGGGGTTGAGGTCTTGGGTGTGGGCGTTGGTAAGGGTGCGGAGGGTGGATTGGGCGCGGAGGTGGCGGGCGAGGGCTAGAGTTTCNGGCGCACGAGGTGGAAGGGGTTGAGGTCTTGGGTGTGGGCGTTGGTAAGGGTGCGGAGGGTGGATTGGGCGCGGAGGTGGCGGGCGAGGGCTAGAGTTTCGGCGGGGGTGTCGGGGAGGGGAAGTGAAGAAGAGGGTTTGAAATTGGGAGTAGGTGTTCTGACGCGCTCGTTGAGCGTTCTTATTCAGGTCCTGCAACGCGGTGAGGGCTCGTCTAGAATCCTCCACTTCGATTTCTGCTTCTTGGGCTGCGAGTTTACGATTATAAGCCTGCGCAAGGAACTCAAGAGAAAAGTGCTCAAGGACATCTTCATACCCCAAGAGCGGTACATAATCCTCTACATCCCTGGAAATCTCAAAGTGTCGATCAATCAAACTCATATCCGCACCCAGTATCTCACCCAGTTCCCTACTAGCCTGCTTATCACACTCGCGCACCTCCTCGCGAACCATCTCCCATCTTTCCGCTATGAACGACTCATCATACCCCATCTCCGGCTCCTCGGCGTGGAAACGGAAACAACTCGTGAGGAATTCGTGTTTGTACGATGTTGCGAGGTGGTCGTCCTCTGCGTCGCGGAGGTATTGCATTGCGAAGATGGTGGCTCTGTTTGTTAGTGGTTCATTATCGTTGGGAGGGGGGGAAGAGGATGACTTCCTCGTCGTATTCTAGGAGGGTGCAGATGTCGTTTTGGGTTTGTTGTATTATGGATTCAATGGTGGAAGGTTGGGTTTGGAAATGGATTGCGTCGGAGAGTTGGTTGGGTGTGTGGCGGGCGAGGTGGTGGGCGGGGATTCTGAGGAGGGAGGAGTATTGTTGGCGTGTTAGGGTGGTCATTTTGAAGTTTTTATTCATATGTGTTGTTTCGAAAATGGGATACTCGTTGGTGTGTTGCGGGGAAAAAAGGGTGGTGAAATGATTTTTACATCAGAAAGGACGACGTGAGGTATATAGTCTTATTTAAAAGAAGTGTTCACGTTATTGAAACTGCGTGTGTGGTTCTTTATTGTGTTACAAACAGTGTAGGGTATACGCGCGAGTCTCTTTGTTAAGCGAGTTTTGGCCTGTGGATGTTAAAGGAAATGTTGGGGACAATAAACATTGTTTCGCTTCTTTGTTTTAGACACGGCGGTTCAACCCTAAAAACTAATCTTGAATTTATCTACGTAATAATAGTATATAGGTAGGAATTCGAAGTCCTCGTCTTTTAGTTATAATACGATTAAATAAAAAAGAAAAGTAAAAAAACAAAAGTATTAAAGTATTAAAAGAATTTAATACGATATACCTACTTACTAATATTATTCGAAATAACCCTAATATAATTAGCTAAAGTAAAACTACTGACTTTACTTTAACTATTTTAATTTCTAAATTATTATATTTCATACCTATTTATTACTCCTACTTTAAAACTTCTTAGGCTCGAATACTAAATATAACCTTTATATTTAAATAGGATTCTAAGATAGTATTTAAAGGTACTAGTTAATAATATATACTAGTTTTATAGACTATCTTAGATAATCTTACGTAACGTCCCCTCCTTGGTACTAGGTAGAACGTAGATATCGCGATATTAGTAGTATCTTTACGAAGCCCTACTCAAGTACTTAACTCTAGCTAGGTAGAGCCGTTCTAGGAGAGTCCGACCTCCACTAGCATAAGAACAATCGTATACGTGACTCTAGGACCCGATTAGTAAAAGAATGCCCATGGTAATGTTATCCCACCTATAAGTAAATCTACGCAGGACCTAGGAAAGAAAGATATCTATCTCTCTTACCTACCAAATTCCCGGGAACGTCTCAAAACCCATGCGGCCGGATAAAAAAAAATCCCCTCTCTATTCGTATACCAAGATCTCCCCTCCCCTCATCGACAGAAGATCCTGCGTCATCCTCTAGTAAAGTCTGTAAAGACAAGAAAACCACGTCGCTTAACTCGTTTCGTCGTCCCGGGTATATCTTATGCCGTTGTACAAAAATAAAACTCATACGAAGATCACCGTGATCACGTCGACGCGTGGGGAAAAAAATGGAAGATTTGACTGGGTAACAGGTAAATCCACGGAGGATGAAAAGGCATGGCCGATACCGAAGACTCCACGTGGGGAGCGCTATCGGTCGCTATCGATATCGATATCGCCGAAACCTTGTTTTGTTCTCCGGTTCCGGTTCGGCCTTTGTAAATTACTTTACCAGCGCGGGGGGTTTTGGACCTATCGTAAAGTGAAAGTATAAAAGAGTTTTTTAATAAGAAGTACCGGTACGAGAGAGTTTTTTGATATCTCTACTCGGTAGAAAGAAGAAATGGAAAGCTTCTAGAAGGGTATGAAAGTTTGGATAGGTTCGGCAAAATGGAATGGTTGGACCTGGTTGGTTGGCTGTTGTGTTTGCGTTACGTTCGCAGGCGGAAAAAGGATCAGTGGTGCACAGGTACGAATAGCTAAGTGGCGTTTGTGTGGCGGTAAACATGACATGGATGGATGCGTGGCTGGTTGGTGGGATGGGATGAACTGGGATTCTGCATACTCGTAGGTACAGTAGGTATTGTATGCGGGATGTAAGCCAAACTCTTTCCTTCGAGATGTCGTCATGATGAAGCTAAGTTGTGATTTTTTGGAGATTCTGGGATTCTTCCGAGCGGATTTGAACTCGGATCATTCGTTAGAGAGAATGGGGATATTCTCGCGGATTCAACGATTGCTACAGTATAGTAAGTTCACGCTCAGAGGAAAACTCACAGAAATACGTCGTATTTAGAAACCTAGGTAAAGTCTCTAGTTCCCCAACCACAAGCCTATGTGCAATCCGCCCGAGCGAGTACTACACCACAGAAAGCATGCCGTCATCATCGCTCCAGCCGGCGGCGGCGCCCTGACAGCAAACGCCTGCAACTGTAAAGGATGAAAGCATCCCATACACACTAATGTGTCCTAAAGAATGTATGTACAGCACGGGGAGGTAGCCTACACTGATTCAGCATATTCATAGGTCAAAGAAAAGGGGGAGTTAAACTCTCTCAAAGCGCTTGCTTTACGTTTTGATTTTTCGATGGAGATATCCTGTCGTGAAGAAATCGAACGAGTGTTTGCGATAGCATCGATTACATCATCGCCAAAGCAAACGATGTGGCATCGGATCACGACACTTTGTTCCAACGAACCTTAGCTAAAAGCCGAAGCGTCTCATTGTATTCTGGACCCGTCTTTTTCTCTCGGTCTTCTCCCATGGCATGTTATGCCGCGCAGCGATCGTACAGAGTCTTGTCTTGCCACGGAGAAAGGCGACAGCTCATTAAAAATAACGCGAGAGTGGAGTCGCTGGAGTCCCGTTTATCGGCTGCACACTGGACACTGGACAAGAACAGTGGAGATTCGCATTCGATTGTTCGAGAAGAAAAAATGTGGCCAAAATCAATTCTCCACCGTGGATGATAGCATGGCCCATGGCACGCCTTTATCCTTCGGGTCCCAAGAACTGAGCACGCGTTGGATTGGGCCAACCTTGCTTGGCTTAGGTCGTCAAATTAGAGCGCGGGCCTAGACTAGCGTGGGTCAACTGGATTAAAGACACCACTGGACTGGATTGGATTGTCACCAGTGTCCACCACAGCTCTCCCTCCCTCTCCGTACTTGTACACGAGTATTGGTACTGTCAGGTATTGTTGTCGCTGCTCCTCATTCGACAGGTTGTAGTGGACTCCAGAATCTGGGAAAAGAGCGATGGTGATGATTGGACGGGAAGTATCTCGTAAAGGAAAAGAAGCGGCATTCCCAGATTCGGTGGGGAGGGAGGATGCAGGTGGACCATGGATGGTCCGATGGGGTTCAATCAGCGTTCGCCTTGGCTCGCCAGAGTTTCCTGGTAGCCTGCGTTTTTCCAGGGATGGATCCATCTTTCCACTGCAAGGGCAAGGATAAGTCTTGGGGTAAATGATCTTGGGCCCTTGGAGGGAGCTTTGGCCTGGGGATGGTGCGGTTGCAGCGTGGACGGCGTGGACGATCAGAGCCGTGAAAGGTGACACTGCCTGCAGCGACTTTGCCACCATCAACATCGACCAACTACAAACATATTATCAACTTGCAGTCCAATTCAGAAATACAATCAACTGCCCTCCGTCTATATACAGACTACTCGACCATATCAACGCCACCATCCAGTAACAAAGCCAACCATTGCATCTCCCCAAACAACTCGAAGTATTGCCATCTTCGAGTCACTACGATATCCCTACACCAAGACCACCCAACTGGAATCCCCGTTCAGGCGCTCGAACATCCACAACTTTAGCACCACCCGCAAATCTAAAAAAGTAACACGTCCCCGTCCAGCCACGGCGTTCGTCACTTCACAGAAAACTGGGTCTATCGAATGGATTCATAATTAAGCCCATGCCCCCCAGACCTCGTTGTTGATCGAAATCCACAAACACCAACAAACAACAACATCATATCACCATGTTTGAACACTTCACCTTTGCCGCCCAGGCACAATCACATTGTCAGAATGTCGAGGACGTTCCACCACTCGACATCTCCCTCCCCTCACCAGTCCCCTCGCCAATCCTTACCCCTCAATCATGGAACCTACCCGAATTGCAAAGCCCCGTCGACACCATCGCCCACCAATTCAGCACCCAGACCCTCTCACCCTCTCTCCACGATGAGAAATCTCAGACTTCACTATGGTACCACCCAACCAGCACACCAATAATCGACTCAGACTCCGACCATGACCACATCCACCCCTCAGAACTCACCTACATCTCCACCACACGCGGACTAACCCGTGTTCAAGCCGAATTCTCCTCCTTTCCCTCCTACACCAGCACAAACAGAACGCTCGCCTGTCGACGAGCCCAACGCCAACGCAACACCCAAGCCCAATGCTCCTCAAAACATATGCGCGACATCCAAAGCCTCGTCTCCAGCATGATAGAGTCGAACTCGCAATGTCGGCTTCGCAAACCCACCGCCATCATCTACCCCAATAGTCCCCCACCCAGTCGCGGCGGGGATTCCTCTCCGTACTTTGAGGAACTCACTCCCAAGATCGCAGAGGCGGATATCGAGATGCGATGTAGTTTCGATCGCGCTAGTAGTCCTGAGGATGAGGGGTTTGGGGATGATGATGAGTTGGTGCCGGTGGTTAGGGGGGAAGTTGCGTCGCTGAGACGATGTGCAGTTCCGGGGGGGATTCGGAAGAATGGTGCGGTTCTTGTGAAGGGGAGAGAGCTTTCGTCGGGGGTGGGGAGTGCTTGTTCGAGGATTGTGGATGGGAAGGTGAAGGTTAGGGGTGCGCCGAGGATGAGGAGGAGGTGTAAGGTTGCATGAATTGGTTTATGTTTATGGGAGGAAGTGGTGTGTTCCGTTCCGTACTTGGTACGCTGGCAATCGGGGTTCAATGAATTGGATTGGATTGGATTGGATTGGATTGGGCTTGATTGGGCTGGGTTGGGTATATCCCATGAAGGCGTCCAATTGCATTCACATTCACGAAACGGGAATTGGAGCTGTCGCATGTCATGGATATCAATCCTCCCAAGATCTCTCAATGAAATCATTATATTATACCCACCTTGACACTAGGACGGGTATAGGTATACTTTGATACCCAGCTTTCAGCTTTCAATATCAAAATCCATAGCAACATCAATATCAAAGTCAATGTTAATATCTGTGTAAGATTATTATCAATGTTAATATCTGCGTAAGATTATTATCAATGTTAATCCCAATGTCCGTGTCGAAATAAGAAGAATCAAACAAGACAAAGCATTTATATACACAAGTATAATAATCTATAATCTTATACTACAAGGGGGGTGTAGTACATATGTAAATACAGAGTATACCTACCTATATATAAAAAGTATATAGAGATATTATCCCTTGCAGAATATCGAGACGAGAGTACTAACAAACCAACCCCCCCCC